CCTGCTGATGTTATCTGCCATGCTAGTGCACAAATAAGTAAACAAGTCAAAGTCATGTTGGCTACAACACTGTTAAACCTGGAGTGGAAAAAATAATGAATGTTTGCCAAAAAGACCAAATTAGCAGGGAAAGCTTATAAAACAGTTTACAAACAATAGAGTGTGGAAAAGCAATTAAAACACTGAACGTGTTATTTTTATATTTAAGGCAAATCATGTAAACAGGTATATAATGAGTAAGTGAGCTAAAAAGAACATAATAAGCAACTGTAATATAAGCATGTATTTATATAGCACCTAAAACTTTGTACTAACTGGCTGTGCTTGTTAGATTAAATTAAGAGGGAAAATACACAGAACCAACCCCAAAAGGGTCAAGTATGAAATATCAGTCAGCAGGCAAAATGCCAGGAAATTCCAACCTCCATAGTTAATAAAGAACTGAACACAAAGATGAGCATTAGATTGTTCTGTAAAATAAGAAGGCTTAGGCATATTAAAAAGTATTTTTTACACAAATGAATTCCAGAAGGGATGTTTCCTTAGTGGGCTGGGCTGAGCTGCCAAGCTTCAGCTTGGTACACACTAAGTTGTCCCTGCTCAGCATAGGGGCAAAAAAACTAGTCAAAACTTTTAAAGACTTTTTAAACTTAGTTATTCCAGTCAGCTATATTATAAATAATTTCAGAACTCTTACATTAGATTTCACAGTATTAGAGTACTGGTACTAGAGCACCAAAGGTCATTATTAATATAATCAGTTGCTAGTTAGAGATGCTTGTAATAGTAGTAAATGCAAGCAGAGGTTGTAATGCACATAGGAGTCCTGCAAAGGCAATGAATGAAAGCAGAAACTGTTCAAATGAGTGAATCACAGAATATTACGAGTTGGAAGGTACCGTGAAAGATCATCCAGTCCAACCTCCCTGCCAGAGCACGATCACCCAGACCAGGTCACACAGGAACTTGTCCAGGCAGGTTTTGAATGTCTCCAGAGAAGGAGACTCCACAACCTTTCCGGGCAGCCTGGTCCAGGGCTCCGTCACCCTCACAATGAAAAAGTTTTTCCTCATGTTCACATGGAACCTCCAATGCTCCAGCTTGTACCCATTGCCCCTTGTCCTATCATTTGACTGAATGAGGTGATATATCCTAAGTTTTCTTATTCAAAATATTAATAAGTGTCAGGACTTTTCCACCAATCAAGCAACCATGCTCATATTAGAAAAATGCCTCTAAATAATATAAAGTAAGAGCACACATGATTCATACCTTGATCTGTCATTTCTTTCAGGGCCAGGCATATTTTTTCACAACTGCAAAGCTGTAAGTTGATTATATAATGAATTGCTTCTTAGTAACTTTTACTCATCTCCTCTTAATGCCTTCAATTTCTATTGTATTTTTAGCAGCTAAGAACAACTTCATAGCTAAAGAGGAGCAAATCAGCTTCAAAGACTGTGCTGAAGCTTTCAAATCTGGACTGACAGCAAGTGGAATCTACACCTTAACAGTTCCAAACACTGCACAAGAAAAGAAGGTAGGATGGCTATAAAGTGCTACCTAGGCGTACTGTGTGTTATTGGACTAATGTATGGGTTCCAGTTCTTTGTTATGCAGAGTTTTAAGGGCATTTGTGTAACCATTAGATGAGCAATTAGATCAGCACAACAGACACTGGGTAGCAGAGAGGATTTTCCTGGAAAATACTGGTCTGATTTAAATAAAAGGTGAGGGTTTGCGATGGTTTCACTACATCAGTTTAAATTCCTCTATGGATACTTTTTCTCCTATGAGTTTAACTGAAATGAAGTTCAATGTCAATTTAAGTTAAAGCAATACACCATACCTCTATAGATGAGACATTGAGCTAAAAATGGCACTCAGTGGATGAAACACTGGATACCTGACAAAAGATGCTCCATCTACTGAGGTTAATAAAATTATAAGGCCTCAGACAGCATAATCCAGTTGAAACAGTCAGTAAAATCTGAAAGGGAGAAAAAAGCCACCGGTGGATTGTAAGGGTAAAGAACCAAAAACTGCAGTGAACACTCTGAGGAGTGAGTGGGGCTCAAATGATGTAAATTTGTTTCTGACTTTTCAGACACAGAAGGCTGAGGAGGCTAAGGGACACTTGACTATAAACAGAAATGCTTAATATATTTCCTAGACAAACACTAAATAATTTTCTAATGTTTTTATTTTATAATTTCATATTGTACACATTTTCTTACAAAAAATTAAGTATTTTATGAAATTCCTAAAGCTCTACTTTATTATATCAGAAATACTTGAGAAAAAACCCCAAAACAAAACTAAGAGAAAATGTACAAAAGCAGAGAAAAATGAAGGCACATGTGGAAAAGCAATTGGTAAAAATCTGACAGAGAAAGATTTTTTCCCCCAAGTTTTGATAGCAAACTGCTCTTTGAAGTGCCAGAACTTCATCTAGCCCAAGCCAGACTCTGTGATCTTTACCCTTTACCATGTAGAGAAATGATGGTATCTGCATTCTGCTTGAAAAAGAAAAACTAGGCTGGTTTTCCTTTGGATAGTCTAGTCTATACATGTGTTTCACAAGAAAATTAGTTACACAACATGCAGTAGTGTTTTATTACACCTGAAGCAGAATGGCATAGATCACAATTTTAAATGCTAAAGGAGATGGAACATACTGCATTTTTAAAGGAATAGATTGCAGCAGTCTTTGCAAGACATCTAGAAATCCCAGGAAGGGTAACATTCCTTTAATCTCTTAATATTACCTGTCTCAAGCTTTTACCCTTGGTTTTAATTTTACTAACAAGTATAATATACAGAGCACACTTATTTTCTAAAAGTAGACATAAGTGCATGCTATATTACAGAATGCACATTTCTGTCTTAAACTTCAACACTGCATTTTCAAAGCCATAAATCTCTAGGCAATTTATATGAGAAGCCAGAATAACACACATTTCTACAAAACTAAAACCTACTAAAATATTTTCTCTCTGAAACAGAAGTACAGTTGCAAATTTCCTAGACTATAAAATATTAAATGCTTTACATTTGAACATGGACACTTACAACACTTGACAAAAATACCCATTTTGGTAATTGACTCACTTTAAAAAAGTGTTTAAAATGTAATAATTCATTTAAATTAGTAATTCATTCAGAATTACAGAGTTTTAATCTTATTCTACCCACTTCAGATAGAGTGAAAAAGACTCTTAAAAAGACAGCAAAGGTTTTACTTACTATATGACTTGAAAAATAAGAGACTGAAAAGTTTTAATGTGTTTTTTATACAAATACAAATGCATAAGAGAAGTTGTCAAGGGAAGGGAAGGTTTAGGGATAATAAACACGTTACACCATTTTCAACTGTTTATGATGTGGATGGCCACTCGGACCGGGAAACAGAATGACCTTTTTATTTGCCAAAAGTGCTGCACTGCTGTTTATGTTTTTACCTTTTCCTCTTGTAACACCTTCTGACTTCCTGGCAGGCTTATAAACAACTTCTGTGTAATCTGTAACTGAACTTTACTAATTTGTCTCCCATCCTAATCCAAAATTAAAGAATTGCATTCGAGAGCTGTGAGAAAAACCAATTATTTCATTCATATTTTCAAACTTTCAAGCTTTCCTGTTCTGCACCAGGACAAAAGCAAAGTCTTGTTAAAAATACTGAGGAAAACCAGCAAAAGACTGCTGACACAAGGAAAAATGGCAGAGGCAAACCCATGAAAAGTCAGTAACTGCATAGTAGTAGTAACCTGAACCAATTAACCTCCTGGTCTTAACCAGGCAGAACAGTTGAGTCTGTATGACCCTAATATATCAGCTCAACCATTACCACAACTATTACCAACATATTATCCCAAATCTTAAAACAGTGGCTAATGCAGTGGCTGAGCTCTTACCCATTTCCATCTCTGTTGAGCTGAAATCTTCATCCCGGAACTGACACACATTCTAAGCCAAGGCGTTTTTAACAAAAACGTCCTTGCAGAAAGTGTTTTGGGCAAGTTTGAATATACAGTTTTACATAACTTTCCTAAAAAGCAGTCATCCAGACAACTAGCATGTCATTTCAAAAGGAGATCATGCCATGGACCTTACATCTAAAATACACACACACAAATTGTTTCCAACCCCAAGCATTAAAAAAGAGCATATATCTAGCTTCTCCACAGTAAGAGGTCATATGAAGGTTTTGTTTGGCGTTTTTTTGTGAATTTCAGAAGCCTCATCATCTGTCTTTTTTCACTAGTAACTGGTATTGTTATTACATTATAAACCATGTGTGCAGTTATTTTTTCCAAAACACGGAAACTAAGGGCACTATTTTTGTCTAGTCACATCTTTAGGAGCTAGAGAGAGCAGAATACAAAATCATTGAGCATCATGACTCAAAAGTGTTCAGACAGCAGCCAAAAGTGATGCAAAGGGAAACTGCACACATGTGGCAACTGCACTTGCTTTGGTATAAAAAAACTGTAGTGGATCTTCATCTTTCTAACTTGACCAGAGCCTTACCATTCAGAAAGTTGGTCTGAAAACACTTATACTCCGAATATACTAGTGTACGAGAAAAAAGGTGAAAAACTACTTGCTCCGAAAGTCAACTTCCTAGACAGTGAAGACTGTCTTATGTGCTTATAATCTTTGGAGAAGGGACTTCTTCCAGTTACACATACCTTACAGCATTTTCAAAAATACAGCGCTGATCTTTAGCTAAAGGTGAAAAATATGAACAGCTCATCTTAGCTCTGACAGTGCTACAGCTGCTACAACAGTAACCACTGAAGCAGTTCACAAGATAAACCAAGTATTCCCACTGCCATTTTGTTGCAATTTGAGAGGCTGATCTCTTTATTCTTTTTTGGCATCTGTTTGAAGACTCCTGCTGCCTGCCTGATCTCGGTATCTATTTTTACTTGTTTTATGAAATGTTATATTTCTTCCGTTGAATACAAAACCCAGGCTAGGCTGAAGGGTCAGAAGAGTTCTGTTCTAGTAATGAGTGTTAAAGGAAGCCTCATATGCCTATCATTTTACTGGAGAACGAAATTATTTTTGAAATAGAAGTTACAGTCCAAATAAATGCTTCCTCTCCCCTCATCCTTCACATACATCATGACGAAATTGTTCCCTCTGCAGACTGACACAGCAATTTACTGTGTTTATTTTAAACTAAGCAAATCCTTTCCTTAATCTTCATTTTACTGAATAGCCTATCTCTATCATTACAATTAATTATGGATATACATAATTAATGTCAAAACTTTTAGTAAAAAGTAATAGAAATAGATCAACATCTCATTAATCTTCTTTCTGTAATCTTTACTACAATTTTTCTTCATTGACTTTATTCTTTCCCAAATTAAAAATGAACTGGCATCTTTTAGAAGCACTTACAGATGACTGACATGAAATTTTTTGGTGAGGCAAAATTATACTCCCAAATTTACATAAACTTGATAAAATCATTATTGGTAAGAAAAATCTACATGACAAATTTATGGACTTCTCTTCTTTAGTTTCTTATTAAGTGTTTCAGTTCCTACTAAATTGATTCTCCTTTAGGGAACAAATATGCAGTACCCCACCATTTATCCCAAAGAGTCTCTGAAGGCTAGTTGTCTTACCATTCACATACAAAATGGATACTGGCTGTAACAGGAATACTTTACATAAGGCATTCACAGTCATTCACTATTTGAGATTATTTTAATCTTATTAGAACTAAATAAAGTGCTATTTTAAGGCATTTATCTCTTCAAAGTAATAATTCCAGCTGAAATTAAATTTAGGTGATAGACATCAAGGAGATTGCACATAACATTCAGAAACATAAATTAATGCCTACAATAGCAAAATTGGACTGAAACAGTGGCCCATGTAAATGAATACCTGGCCTGTCTCTGTAAGTATAAACTACAGGTTTCAGAAAAGGGTGAAACAGTTCTGTTCTCAATTTGTCTGCTTATACTGTCCTTTCAGTATGGTGAAGCTTCAGAGTCAACAACTTTCCCTATAGCCAGTCATATTTTAAGTCATAGAGATGCTTAATAAAAGTATTTGCGTCTGCTTTAGCCCATCCCTAGAATCCCTCTTCATAGCCTCTTGTGGAAACTAATTTTCACATAATGTTACACATCACATGAGTTAGATAGCTTTCTAAAACAGACTGATCATACTTTACAATGCCTTTCTTTTTCAAGGCAATTTTTATATTTACTAAATTTAATTTATATATGATTACCAAATCTTTATCAGTCATTAAATACAGAGTTTAGTAAAAACCAACAAAGAACAGGCTTTGAGGTTCAAGGAATTGTATACATCAGTACAAATTAAAGTTACTGCTTTCAATTAAATTCCATTCACATGACATACTTCAACAAGTAATCCCTAATGCAACTCTTTTCCTTATTTCTTTTATCTTTCCTAAAAATCTCCAGTTGAATATCTCATGGTTCTCTGATGTTGAACAAAGAGTCTAGATACAACTTAAAATACAGTATCTGCTTTGGATTTCCAAAGTGTTGCACCCTATAGAAACACCAATATGTTTAATATTAGCAGGTCTAAGGGCTTTCTTTCCCTTTAAAAGTCTGATGCCTTTGAACAGTATATATGCCTCTGCTTGCACTTTAAGTACCCTATTTGATTTATACAAACATGTGTATGTGTGTGTATAACATACATGCAAATACAGGCACACCCTAAAAAAGCCAACTACACTGAAATGTCAGTGAGGAGCATGCTTTACTTCCTCAGATGGCACACAAAACTCTGCCACAGGACAGAAGGAAACTTTGGCTTCTCAGAAGTCATACTTTTTCAATTAATTTCCAGGATGTCTAGTAGTTCAAACAACTCAAATCTCCTAACTGCTAACACTGATAAGACAGTCTCCCATAGAAGAGGAGGAAAAAGGCATACAGCTTCAGTGTCATTCAGTCATGATCTGGGGCATTTATAGGCACATTGAGACAAGCAGCAGGTAAGAAGGAAGACCATCAAGAGATCTTTTTTTTTACACAAAAAGAACAAATACCCAAATTAATAATGAAGTGCTCAGGTCTAGGTGTTTTGGTTTTTTTTTTTTCTTTCTTTTGTTTAAAATTGATCTGTATAGATAAAATATCTTATCAAAGTGTAAGAAGCCAAATTTCAGCTCCACTACTGTAAATGGAAAGATGCAACTTCACTTAACTGATGAAATATCTATAGTACAGATGAGAGGTTAAGGTAGTTTAATACTCAAACTGTAATTTAAAAACTTTTCAAAGATGTGAAATAATTGTGAAGCTCAGAACTTCAGTATGTTTGAAGAAATTGATATATATATATATATATATCTCAAAAATTAAATTCCAAATGAGAGAGCCTAGAACATTAACTGTGACTCTCCAAACAGGAATACTTATGCAAGAACTTTAATTTTTATTTTAAGTAAGTGTGAGTACTAATATGCAATATATACAGATACTGATTTCAGTTTGACTTTCCATTTACTGTCTTATACCAGTTTAGTTCCATTGACCTTGCACATCTACTTTTAATTTCTGCTACTTACAGGAAAGCAGAATTAGATGCAATAATTTTAAATCCTTTCTCAAGAAAAATGGTCTTAAATATTCATATAGTCACAAGATTTTCTTGTTAATTTATCCAAAACATCGCTCGAAAACGCACTTTAAATTTTCAAAAGATTTTTTCCATCGGCATTGATTCTATGGATGTCTCACGGAAAAGCTGGAGAAGTGCAAACATCTTTCAGGAGAAATATTTCATCAGGACACTCAAAAAAAAGTTCAAGAGGGAAGTACAGAATCAGAAGCTACATTAATTTTTTTTCTTTAACACCAGCTACCAGCTATGTTTAAGGTGTCAGTTGTATTCTGTAAAGTCTGGAATATACCGAGGAATCATATTTGTGGAAAACCACAACTAATTTGTAGGAAAGCTACGAAAACCAGCATTTTTAGGTTAATACAGGCTTTGCACTTGTACAGTTTAAAACTTGCCACTATACAGAATTATGCAAAGATGTACTTTTTATCTTTGTTTTCACATGACTGCATGCTTATGCTGTTGCATGCTTACTCTGGCAGGCCTACTGTGACATGGAAAGTGGTGGAGGAGGTTGGACGGTCATTCAGAGACGTGAAGATGGCAGCGTGGACTTTCACCGGACATGGAAAGAGTACAAGATGGTAAACAGTATTTTCTGAGGCCTTAATATTAGTTGTTATTACTATCTGAAATAATAAAGTTATATTAATAGCATTCTTAGAATTAAAGCAGGTTCTGGAAGTTGTTTTTGTCCGTAGATGTCAATTTAGAAAATGTCAGAGATGTCAGAGTAGTATAAGTTGTTTGCTTAAGCAGAGTTGCAAGTGGGATGTTTGTTTTTAAAGAGAAACCTCACTTTTCTTTAATCAACTGTTCCATAATATGTCCACATTTTTGAGTTATTTATATTTGTGTTTCTAGTGGCAACAGTAGAAACTGCTCCAAATCTACTAAGTAGTATTGATTCACTATTTCAGATTCCTGAGTTTTTCTTTGCTGAAATTAACTTTTTGAAATACTACAGATCTGTAACCCTCACAGACACAGTAACATTTTTAGTTGAGAGACTGTAAACTACTAAACTTAAAAACTGATAAAGTGATCATTTCAAACTCAAAGAAAAAAGCAACCCAAAGTTATTTAAATATGCAAAACAAAGTTATTTAAATATGCAACTTGACTTACAGGGATTTGGTGATCTTGCTGGGGAGTACTGGCTGGGAAATGAGTTTGTTTCTCAGCTGACTAATCAGAAGCGTTATGTTCTTAAAATACACTTGAAAGACTGGGAAGGAAATGAAGCATATGCATTGTATGACCACTTCTCTCTAGCAAATGAAGAACTAAAATACAGGTAAGCAGAAAAAACAGATCTGGATTTTAAAAAAAAAAAGTTATAGTAATAATTCTAGATTGTGTAGATGCATGATCTTATTTCATACAAATTATGATTTTTTTCATTTCACTCAGAAAATAATGCTTGCTTCATACTTTACCTATTGCCTAAAGCAGTTTTAATAATAATGTTTTTTCCCCAATGGAGAGAATGTATATTTTACTAGTGCACACTTAGGTGAGTGTAAAACACAAGACGCACAAAGATTAAGAGATGCCATAGTATAGGATAGGATACATGAGCCAATACAGCAGATGGCAATGCACAGTCTTCAGAGCAATAGGAACCTGTGTGCAGTTGCTTTCAAATCCTGATTCCAGGCAATAAATACATTTCTGGATGGTGGATGACCAAGATGAATAATACTGCAAGGAGATTTTCCACTTAAGTTAGTGGCTAGGAGGAGCTCTTCTGTCATCATGAGGAGCCCGCTGAGGTAATGCAACCTGCTCCTTCCATGCCACACTGGCTTGGATCCTCAAAGAATAACACTCCTACCTGTGAAAATGAAGCTAACAGCAAATGTCCGGTCTCATGCCAATTTATACACCAGATATTAATGGAACTATTACTTATGCTTCTGTCATTCGGCAGAATGTAAAGCTTCATAATTTCTTCTTACATACTTGTTTAAAATAGGAAATAACATATACTTGAAAGAAATACTTTATACAGAAATAAATATTATCATAGTATCATACATTTTAAATAGTATCATAGTGTTATACATTTTGTAATTGTATCAGCCACAGCTAAAATATATGGGCAGTTCATACTTCTTTCTCCAGTCTCTCTGTAAATGCAGTAGATACTGTTCAGTTACAGAAGAAAATAGAGACTCTGCAGTATAACAGAAGCTTTCCTGCTACATGGGCCAGGAAATGTTTCTTTATGAGAATTTTACGGATTCTTGGAACTTTAGGTGATTGGACAGAAAAATTGTCTAAATTTAGATTAATTTTTCCAAGATCTCTAGCAACTATTTTTTGTAAACAAAGTCGATCTGACACTTGAGACAACTGATGTTACATCAACTCAAGTATTATATGCAAAGCAATCCAAAACTATCAATATCTTCCTCCTCCAAAACGTTAAATCTTAATGCCATAGTAGTATACAGTTGTCTCAACTCCAAAGCAAATATTTTTTCAGCTGGAAACAGTCAGAATCTACAGCAGAGATTTTTTTAAAGTAATGCTTTAAAATACTTATAAAGGCAACCTTTGCAAAATGGGTCATTACCCTTGTCCATTTACAATATTAAAAAATAGTTATTGAAAACTAAGATAGTTGCCTGTAAACAGATACTTTATTTTAAAATGCACCCAACATGGAATGCATCATAGAATGCAGAGGTTTAAAGAAGTAACTTTCATTAATTTAAAACATTAATAAATTCTGAATGCTGGAAAGATGAGTTGGGTCATAAAACTGAAATTTCATAGATTCATAGAAAAATTGAGATCAGAATGGACTTCATTTGAGTCAAATTTCCTGATCTCAAAAAACAAAACAAAAAAAAAAAGAAAAGGCCAGACCAGGTTTCTCAGGGCTTTATGCAGCTGAGTCTTGGTAAGCTTCATAGGTGGAAACTGCACAACCTGTTCCACTGCTTGTCTGTTCTCATGGTGAAAAAGGTTTTCCTGATACCCAGCCAGAACCTTTTATTTCCATTTATATCCACTGCCTCTTGTCTTCTGTTCTACTAAGCTGTACTTTTAAAAATTGAATAATAATAAATGAATAATATCCTGCTTACATAAGACTTCAAAAGGTATTTGAAAATCAAGCATAGGCTCATACATTATAATTGGAACCTTTAGTAGTACTATTTATGTTAGAAATTGGCTTACAGAATTTTGAACTCATCTTAAGAAAAAAACCAGAGTATGTAACATTTTGAAAGAGATTTTTGAGAAAATCTATACTGAACTGATCCTTTCAAACCTAAACGAATATCTACAACTTCTATCATAAACAGAGAATTACATACAAGATGAAGACCTATCTGAGGACAAGTTAGTTCTCCTCAAAAGAGTTCGATCTCTTCATTAAACAAATAGAACAGCTCTGAGAAAGATAAGCTATTTGTTACAGAAATGCAACCATCAAAGAGATACTGTCGGAACAGAGGGTTCAAATCCTTCTAATTCAAGGTGACACAATAATAGCTGTGTAATCGCTGCCCCACTTTGGTGCCCTGTGTCTCTCCACACTGAGACTGCTCTTGTGTAAGCAGATCCAAACAGTAGCAGACTCACTGAAATCTTACCTTGCTGGGGAATTGAAGGAAACTTAAATACCTGTGATGATTTAAGACTAATAAATCTCTGAAGGATGTGAAAATGAAGAGCAATTAGGAAAGTGGAAAGGGAAATACTGAGAAACTCCTAAAATATCAGTTACTATTTGGTAATTAGTAGTCCAGGTAATGCTAGTATCTTGGATAGATGCAAAGTTGTAATGCTATATTGCCATGTTGTGCTATCAGCAAAATAGCAAACAAAAAGTTTTGGTTTAAACATTTGAACTTGATTAAAAAAATTATTACACACAATGTACTTACAGTATTAAATGCATGATCTATACGAAAAATACCAGGAGTTATTTTCTACCTGCTCTCATTTTCTTCTAATATGACATGAACAAAACAGTCATCTCTACAAATGTGGAGGCTGTTCATCAGAGTATTGTGTTGACCATTTCTCCTCATATGAAACCAAGCAAAACAACTTACAGCAGTACATTGGCTATAAGAGAACTCAACTATTTGAACAGGGTATTTATTGCAAACTATTCTATCGTTATTTTGCAGATCCACATAATAATTGTTTTTCCATTCCTCACTTCTACAGGATCTACCTTAAAGGACTTACTGGGACAGCAGGCAAAATAAGTAGTATAAGCCAACCAGGAAATGATTTTAGCACAAAGGATGCAGACAATGACAAATGTATTTGCAAATGTTCACAAATGCTAACAGGAGGTAGGAATGTTTTTTCGTTTCTCGGTCTTCCTATTTTTATTGGCAATGAATTTGTCTATGAGATAAATAATCATAATTTTGACTTAGTAAATTTTTAATATTGCTGAAGTCCAAAACTCACAGACAGAATACAAATGCTAGTGCAGTGACTCCAAATGAAATATTTTATCATTCAACAAAGGTTAGTTAAAGTAAAACAAGAGAACTTAAAACTAGAAGGAAAAAAGTCTCTGAAGCTGGGGTTCAAGACAGTCTGTAGTTCTGGAACTGATCAGAGAGACAGCAGATCCCTCTTCCAAGAAATGAGGTAACATTCAGAGATCAAAACATGTAACTCCCCACAAAAAAACCAAAACTATTTTGGACATTCAGTTAGTTAGTGAAGTGACTCCTGATTCTATAGGCACAAACCCTTTCCCTAACTATCCAGAGGCGAAGAAAAGCTGCTGTACAATGTACATGTCACAGAAGGGTACAAGTATTTAATTCCATATTTCAATATAATTGTGACATGGCAAAGATACACCACATATATGAGATACCTACAGTTTTCTGTTGATTGTTCACTATTTATTGGTGTTTTAGGCAGTAATTTTATCTTGAACTACATAAACCTTTATATAATTTGTCAATCTAGAATTCCACATTCTGAAATGTAAACAACTGCTTTGTAAATTTGACTTCTCTTCCTGTTATCTCTTAAGCAGTACTTTATTTCCCTGTAGCACAAGTTGCAAGACAAAAGATAGTTTCAGTTTATCCAAAAGGATAATTGGATTACTGCCCTAGAAAACAGAACACAAACATTATCGCCATCATAACAGAAGTATAAAAATATTATCTTATTAATAAAAATAAATTTTCCTTATGACCCATGAACAGGTCAGGACTAAAAGGACACAAAATAAGTTTGGGCTGCTTTTTAGTCCCTTTTTTCTTACTCAGTTTCAGCACAGAGGATTTGAACTGATCTGCATAACAAACTGAAATAGATGACTGAATTCTCTAAAAACAATTAAGAAAGGAGTTTAAATCTGTGAAGAACAGGAATTTACCAAAGAGTAGACAAAAAACAAAGACTCAGCATCATTATAGTTGAAGTCAGATTCTGCCCTGAGATTGTCAATGTTTGATATTGATAATAAATTAAGCCTGATTGAAGACCTTTCCTTCTCAATTTTAAACTAATATGTACTACATAAGCTTCAAGAATACGTACTGAATACATAAATGCATTGCCCTGCTGAGTTTAAGGCATGTATTTTATACTGACACTTCCAAATCATAAGAGTGAAAACTTGGTTGAGTGAAAACATCTGCTGATGTTTTTTTCTTTGTTTTCTGTCTTGCAGGATGGTGGTTTGATGCATGTGGTCCTTCTAACCTCAACGGAATGTATTATCCATTACGACAGAACAACAACAAGTTCAATGGTATCAAGTGGTACTACTGGAAAGGCTCAGGATACTCTCTCAAAGCCACGACTATGATGATTCGACCAGCAGATTTCTAAATGCTTTTGCATTATGTGAATTATGTATTGTATAGTCTTCAAAGACTTCATTTGCTGAACATATATACACACATCTGCAACTTGTCTCATTTTCAAGCCCAGAAAATACGTACTAGTGTTCTGAAGGGATCAGTTGAGTACAATTCCTGAATTGCAATAGCCGTGATCAGCTAAAGCTCATATTATTCAACCAGACACAAAGTCTAAAGCATCAACTTGATGTAACAGTGATTTGGCCAAACAACTGAATGAAAAGAACATCCAAAAAACTGTCAGACAACTTAAAGACTCTGTTTTACTGATCATTTATGTTATGTATGTGTTAGCAAATAACTGGAACTGTGAAAAATACCTAAAATAGTTTTAGAAATACGCATTTTGCCTCATCACTGAAGTTCAATCATTACTCTAATATAAAACACTTAACTAGATCTAGAACTATTTATCTCTGTTTCATGTTTGCCTTTTATGTACATAAAAAAATACTGTCATGTAATTAGCTCAATATTGTAGTTGATGAATTCATTCTTTCCTCCCATAGTCTCCTAAACAACTTCTTTCACTTATTCAGGGATGTTTTCCAATAGCCTGTATTATATTGTTTAACAGAAGACAAACAGCATTTAAGTACTTTGCATTTACTCTTGGGAAATACCATGTACAAAAGTCACCATTTCTTACAGCTTGTACTTACTACTGTCACTATCTTTAAGTTACAAAAATCCCTGCAAATTACACTATAGTATGTATTTCTTTATATTTTTATGAAGATTGCACTTTTTTTCTTTCCTTATCATTTATCTGTAAAATAACTGATCATTATCTTATAAACCGAGACAACGGCATTAACAGCAGATGCCTGGTTGTCTATGACAATCTGTTATCACCTGGTGCTGTAGTACCTCTATATATTTTGCAAAAATAACCTAACTGAAAAAACATAATGCATGTTTTTTGATACAATTAAATCTATGCTCATGACTTAAGACACATTTCTAAAATAGGAAGAAAAATCTGAAAGTTATCTAAGGTCATACTGTTGTTTTTTTCCAGTAAGGTTAGGACATCTCCCTAGAATTTCTCCGTACGTAGGCCCTCAATGTATGACACAATGTGAATAAATTACTCTACTGGGTGGTTTTTGCCTTTTTAAATTACTATATGCTTTAAAATTGTGTTCTGTACACTGCATTTCAGACTGAGAAGATATTTCTTTATAAATCACACAAAATAATTTTGTGGGTATTTTTCCCCAAATTAACTTTAGGTTTTAATTCTCATGCTTAGTCTTTGCCTTAAAGTAATACTTCTGTAAAATTTTAATTTCAGCAGATGACTGAATTAGTTACAAGAACATATCTCATACCAAACCAAAACAAAACCCCCAAACACAACATTTCTGGAGGCTTACTTAACAAAAGGTATTGTATCATAAAAACCGTACATGATTTTGAGAAAGATGGAAGAAAACTCATTTTATACTGACAGTCATTAAAGCTGCTGTCAGAGTACCCCACGACTCACACCATCATCATTCTTCTTCACGGAAAACGTGTCAGCATTACTAAAGGGTAGCAGAGATGAAAAATACTTCTATTACTTTATGCTCTGATTTTACGTAAACCTAACAAATGTACATTAACAGTCATCATCTGAAGAGCTGCATAAAATAATATCACTAATATTTTATTGTTTCTCCTAGCAAACTTGTAAGACTATACATATCCAAAACAAACAAACAATATACTTCACAAAACTGCTTTCATGAATTTCTAAGAAAAGTCTTAAAAAGCAAGTCTAGCAGATGACCACCAAGCTAGTAAAGGAGCTAGACATGCCAAGAAGCACACGGCATGACAAAAGAAGCCAAGAGAGCTGGCCTTTTTCAGCCTGGAGACAAGAAGGAGAAGGGGAGCCTTTACTGCTGTCTACAATTCCTTGATCGAGGACACAAAGACAGATCCAGACCATCCTTGGAGGTGCACCACAATGGGACAAGAGACAGGGATTAAAGGCAGCAAACACAAGTTGGAATTGGGGAATTTCCACTTAGACAATTGAATTTTCTTTTTAATTTATTCATTTATTACCACAAGAGTGGACTGACCAAGTCCCTTGGAGCGGAGTGTTGAACTAGGCAACAGCTCTTTTATAATTTAAATATTTTAAGATTCTGTGAAATTTAATAGAAATGCTGAGTCTAGATACTGTATGTCCTGCTTCACTGCATTAAATCAGACAACTAAAGAAAATACTCTCAATACTTCTTAAAAGCCATGATGGAATCTGGAACAGTATGAATTTTCAACCTGGCAGAGGAAAACAGTGCTAACGCTAACTTCTGGTTGACATTAACCTACATTATTTTTGTAAGAAAACACTATATGAAAAGAATAATTAAATACTGCATGGCTAGTTTTGATTTGCTGGGAAAATGTTTTTATAAAGCTTAAGGCTTTTTTGTGACTATTTTAGGAAAGCGATCAAAGTGTAATGGAGTAATTTATCAACACATGTAAAATTTTAGAGTGAATATGTTTTTAAATAACATTTTATCTAAATGAGATTGCATGGCTTAAACTGCAAACACCAAAGTGAAGTGAAAGGAGGACATTCCAGAAGGAATGCAATAATAGGAAAAAGAAGGCTGCATCAGCTGCTTTGAAGTTGGTACAAACAATTAAAACATAACAGCAAGATAACCTCTTTCTTTTAATTCCTTCCCATAATCAAATAAACAGTATATAAAAGTAGAATCCACTTCCATTTTCACTAAATACTTCTTAGGAAGCACTAAAGAAATAACAAGAAAAGAAAGGGAATATAAACACCATTCATGCTCAAATAATAACCATGTCTTTAAAAATAAGATATCTATTACAATAAGAAAGCACAGTGACTGAAGAAGGGAATAGTTGGAAAGGTGATGGAAATATCGCCTTGGACTCTGACTTTGTGAAGTGATTCAGGTTCTCAGCACAACCATAACCTCCCTCAGTTTTATCTTCTCACCATCTCTCAAGCCTTCCTTAATTCTGCTTTGGAAATAAAAACCGTAAACAGAATCTGAAAAACAACCCCAGCAGGAGTCACTTCCAAAGAATGCTATGTAAATTGTTACTGATAACATACTTCTTTAATAACCAAGGTTGTCTGAGAAGAAACAGAAAACTCAAAACAGCTTAATCTGAAGTAGTGTGTTCTTTTCTCATACAAATACAGAAAAAGGAAAAATAAAAGTACATGCTTCCTATTTTTCACATTAGTTTTTGCCATTCTTAATGTATTTGCTATATAAAAAAACCCCTCAACTAATTCCTCTTTTTAGAAAAAATACCACATTATAATGGATAATTAATTCCTTTGGGCTTATTTCAGAATAACTGCTACAGTTTCTGTACACTTTAAGAACATACAACTTATAATCATGAAATAAAGTCTTAATCTTGAACACGTAAATTTACATAAATTACAGATTTAGAAAGAACGCTAAAAATAAGTTCTTAGCAGTTAATAAAATGACAGTAAAAATAAAGTTCAAACACTATTAAATATTTTTCTTCAAAGCCTATATGAAACTGAGAAACAAGTAGCTGATAAGGATATGTTTATCTAACTGCTACAATAGAAGAGAAATTGTGAAACCTTTTTGGCAAAACTATTAGTGGTTGCCTAGTAACGTGCTAGAATTCTACTTGTTTTAAAACCAAAATACAATTACTGTTTAATTAATTACAACCTATGGAGTGCAGATACACTTGGATCAGATACGCCATGCCCCCTCCCCCATACACACTTTTGCACTTGAGAATGATCACTAAAGGCAGGAAAAATGCTTCATTTTACCTAGTCAGTAGTTTTCAAAGCCCACAGTAATTTTCCCTTGCCAAAGTCATTTCTGGACTGAAAATACTGAGTCCATGACCTGACAAATCTGTCCATTAGGCGATAACATGCCTTTCCAGTCTATATGCAAGCACAGAGAGAAGTTAAATATGCCAGAAATAAAGGACATTTATACATAAATAAGAAGCTAGTGAACTGGTAATTTTTTTTTTCCATTTTCCACGTATAACAAAGTTTTTGCACATACTTCAAAAAGCAGTGTGCAAAGGAGAAAATAACTCCTTGAAGTATTTGCTTCAAAAACAATTTTTTTCTAGTAGGCCTTCTTGTTCACAAAATCTATTTAAAGGCCAAATAATTTTCCAGCAAAACAAAAGAAAGTTCACAAACTTGAAGGGCCATTAAACTTACAGGAGCTGCAGGGAAGCTGGATGAAAGCTCATATGGTTCCTCTGAGATCCAATGGCCCGATTCCAAAGACCACAGAACCTAAAGTAAATTAAGTGGTAAGCAGAACTCTTAGAATTTCTAAAACGGCAAACTCTTTGAATGTGCAATTAGATGTAACAGTGCAGTTACAATAGCTGGTTTGATGTTCATTTACCCAAACCAAATGACCCTCTGAAAAATCAGGCAATCAGAAAGGTTACAGCTGAAAAAATCCCCACTGAAATACCAAAGTCCTATTTCTGTACATAGCTAGTTAAATTTCTAAACCTTGTGAGGATATTAGAAGAGTCAACTTTTTGCATTACAATACATAAAACTAGAGCAAAGATTTGAAAAGGGAAGTCATGCTATATCAGTTCTGTTCATGCAGATCATAAATGAAGATGTTGAACAATATTGGACCAGTATCAACCCCTACGACTGGGACTATAAAACTATTGTACATAATCCACATCACACACATGAATCAGCCTGCAAAGAAGAAAAGCTCAGTTTAATTCTCTTCAGTATTCTCCTCTGTCAAGTGCACATTCTAGATCACAAAAAAGGTTGCTAAGAGTGCAGTGTACTGACTGCCTGGAAAACGCATGATCATTCATATTCAACTGAGCACTGAAACGCTGGATGGACGTGTTCCTTGGACACTAGCAATCCTGACACGTTGGACAACTTTCAGCTCTCTGATCCTATCAGGGCCATCACAAAATGGGTTGATTTTCTAAAGCATTCTTCAAATCAATTTATCTTTATAAGATGCACCTGGTCAACTATACTATTAAAAGCTTCATAAAGAGTGTTCAGAGACTATTCCTCAAGTGGTAAAAGTGTCAACTTTATGGGGAAAATGAAAAAGATTGAAGTTCCTACTATGGCTCTGCCCTTGAGTTGCATAAAGGGCGTTTTCCTACTGATTTTTATAGTCTAAATTTTGAAGCACACTCTGATGGAAGAGTTTATTTTCCTTATTGGCTTCATCAGTGTGAGCTGAGCCATAAAGATTCTTCTATAGGTAGAAGGCTGGTAAGTTCTTTGCTGAGGTTGTCCACTGCCACACAATTCAACAGCTTTCCCCTTTTACAGATATTTGAGCTTTGCAACATCCTTGCTGTAGCTGCCATTTGGCAAGCCTTAAATATAAGTAAAAAAAAGCATTGTTACCCACTAGTGAGAGACAGCACGATTCATACGTTCAACCTTAAATATCACAGCAATCCTCCAATACCGTGCTGCTCCTATAGCAACAAGTAGAATTAAGTGAACAACAAGCGTACATATACCCGCAAAATGGGATATATGGAATTTATTAGAAAGTACACTGTGCTTAGGATAATTCTACCTCTCGAAGTCACAGTTTTCCTAAACAGTTCTCTAGCCATTTCAAATAAATGATGTCTGTTTCATATTGTTAGCGCAGCCATGCACCATAAAACTGTTATTATTCACCTCAGAAGAAGCTGAATTTCATCAGTGCGTGAAATTATTCCCATGCTTGATTCACAATTAACTGAAATATTCTGTATTATTTTTCATTCTTTTGGAAGAAGATGCCATACAAATCCACATATTATTAGTTTTAAATTAAATTATAAAACTTTACACCTCAGAAACTTTGGGAAGCAGTGCTATGAGATGCTCCCCTTTGACAAAAATTGGCATAATACATATCAAGCGTGATAAAGTTATCCTTTACTATTTTACAGCTCACTAACTAAACAAGAGTTTACGTTGAATAGACTAATTCTAAACTAGTTATGTAAGTCTTACAAAATGGTCTAATTGTATCTAGGAAAATAACTTTCTGTAAAGGGCACTTTTGCCCCAAATCTTCTGCTACAAGCAGCAAATTGCAAACTGAATTTAGAAAGTAATCTGTTTTCAAAACCAAGTTCTATAGTTTTTAGTTCAAAGTAGCTTATGTTTGATCACTTTCAGCAACCTCTAATATGAACTGCTACAAAAGCTGGTGCTTTGCATGAAGCGGCAAGTAGTGTTTTACTTTCGGAGGAAGATGTCCAATTTTGCATTACTGGAAGTGAACAGTGATTTTTTGTTGATAATGAAAAGCAGCGTATCTTCAAACTTAGTGTTGAACTTTATTACATAAATCCAAAGAATATTACGTTTACTTTTAGAAAACACACAACCAAATATGTGAAAATGCAACAGCAGTACAAAAAGAGAAAATAATTTCTATTATCATTATATCATACCAAACCTAAAAATAAAAGTTAAGCACATTAATAAATCAATGACCTTTAAAAATATTCAAAACGTAATAATGTATTGCTGTGTTTAGTCAAGAAAAGTATAGTGACTTCTTAAAAACACACAGCTAAAACTGCAACTTACTATTTTAAGTTATAAATATTAAGATGCTACCTGTGTATATTTTTTACAATTACTTTTTACAATTTACAGTAAGAATATTGAAATCCATAGCTTTATACTTACAGCTGTATATATTTATTGCAAATAAAAGAAGTTTGTTAGTAATTTCTCTTCTAATCACAGGATAAATTGACTTCAACTGAACCAAGAAAATTGTAACTTCTAATATAATTCTTAGAGACATGCTGCATGAAAATAATTTCTACACAGAAAATAATTTCTTCATTTCTTGAGCAGGAACAGATGTGCCATGTATAATATGCACATCATGTCCTTACAGTACCAAAACGATGTTTCTACCAAGAGTAACTAGCAAACAACCCAAACAGATTAAAACATAAACCCAAAAGATTAGTTATGATTAAGTAATCCCATTTTGTTTTCCAGGCCAATTCTTCAGTAACAGCATCCATCAATCCTTGTAGTATTATTTACAGAATTTTGTTTAGAAACTAATTTTGTTTATCTTAACAAAAGATGGATTAATGCTTGTCTACCATGCCACTGGAATTGAGTACAAAGGCATCATATCTATTTCCTTAGATAAAAAGAAATTTAGATACAGAGTTCATCAACAGGTCCTGCAGTAAATTAGGTCACCACTCACTAAACCTTTGAGTTGTCATGAACACAAAGGCAACACCTCTCCATTCTATGTCACCGAAAGTGTGCTTCTGACTTTGGCAGAGACAAATATACAACCAGTATATTTTTAGAGCAACACTAAAAAAGCTTCAGATTCATGTAAGACAAAAACAAGTTATGATTTGCAATATTATTCTTGAGTAAACTACTTGTTTAACTTCTTGTTAAGTCACTAATGTGGAAAAGGACTAAGAAAAGCTGAAATACTTCAGAATATAAAAATGTTTATACTGAGAAGGAAGAGCTAACTAGAAGTTCTCGAATACGCAATACAAAAGAAGATTTAACTTAAAATGTAATGATATAAAGCAGTACAGATCAAGCATGGGTGCTGGTTACAGGAATATTGGAAGTTAGGACAACGCAGCTTATACCATTGAGATATTAAGTATGCATTGGATGCTAGAACAGTCCTGGAGAACACAAAGAAGGAGGAAATAGGGAAGAGGAGAGTGGGAAAAGCATGGTTTTACTGTGGAACTCTTACAGTCTTAAAGAATATTTCCTTTTCACTTTGGACTCCACACTCATGTTGATGAAAATCTTCTATAACTTTGTCCTCAAGTATGGACTACTTTATCTATTTTTTTTAGTAGCAGGCTTGGAGCTCCAACAAACATCCTGTAGGTGATACAGCTATAAGGTGAGACTTGGTGAGAAGTTTTCCTTTGCATATCATATCAGCTATGTTCTTTTATTTGGACTATATAGGGAAATTTATGTCAAACATCAAATTCTCAAGGGTTTGAAAACATCCTGTTTGACTAATCATTATATAAGGCCTCTTACTCATCCAGCTAGCACACTGAATGATCATACAGTATTTGTACTTGAGTAGTCACCTTGAGATACATGAAAAGGGACTGCAATGAAGATTAAATACCTAATGATAAATATTACATTTCTGTGTCATTCATCTTTTAATTTTTTTCTCAGAAGAGAAAAAAATACTGCAGCCTAAGTTCGTTCCCCATGTTACATATCAAAAGGCAATGGTAAAAAAATGTTTCTCAACATTTTAAGCAGCTGACATCTTCCAAAAGACAATCATCACTGCTCAAAATTAATGCCTTGTTTAGAAAGTACTAAAGATTTATCCAAATAGACTATTATTTTAAGTATCCAATTTGAAGAATTTTATCAGTTATAGTACTTATGGCAGGATTGCATATAGTATAGAAAGACATTAAAGGATTCAGTATTTTAGCATTAATAAAAGAAAAACATGATTTTGCTTAAATGAAATTCTCCTGACTAATTTTCTACGGAATTCCTCATGATGGTTAAGTAAGATAAAGATCATCCTGTGATGAGTCTAAAATGTACCCCGTAAGAGCAGGAGAAAATTTGGCATTGCTACTAGTCAATACCGGTCTAGTGAAGAGCATGTGTTAATGTTTTCACCATGGACTGGTTCATAAATTGCAGTGCATAAAACAAGAAATGAAATTCTAGGACAGCAATTGCCAGAATACCAATTATTCAAATACTGCCTTACGTACAAAGATAGGAAAGTACTTCACTGGATTTTTGCAGCAGCTATCTCCATTTTTAGTTATCTTAGTAGTTATTTGAAATTTTTTTCTCAAGGAAATATACAGTTTTCAGGTTTGACTTCCATGTTATGAAAAAGTAACTTATAGCAGATACATTGTAAATGTATAAAACTCCATACAAAGGTGCGGGACAGATATTTCAATGTATTTCATTCATAGTAACATAGAATCACAGAACAGTTGAGGTCAAAATGGACCTCCAGAGACTGTCTAGTTCAAACCCCTTTCTTCAAATATGTTGTTCTTAATACAACCAATGATGCTATTGGGCTTTTTTGTCACAAAGGTACAGTGCTTGACCATTGAGGTGACCAAAAATGCAAATCCATTTATTTCAAGGGGAATTAATCACCAAGAACTTTGGAAAGTCTACCGTAACAGCTTGTTCAGGTAACTACCTGTATATCACGTAGGACAAGTTTCATACTGGTAAGTGCCAGACATCTTTAAAGCAAAAAGTCAATGGTAGTTTTGGGGTTTTTTATTCATTCCCAAAACTTAAATTTTAAAGTATTTATTTAAAGAAGGAAACAAAAAATTAAGTTATTCTATAACCCCTTTCTGTTGAAGATGAACAGCTATTTTCCATATAAATTCCAACAGCTATGTTTTACAGCTCTGGAGACATGAGTAAAGCTGAAAAAGTGCCATCTGCAATGGCAGATTGAGTAGTTAATGTCTATTATAACAGTGAGCAATTGAGGTGGTTTAACCCTGGGCTCATAGGTAAGCTCCCCATGCAGTCACTGCTCACTCCTTTCTCCAGCAGGATGGAGGAGAGAATTGGATGGGCAAAAGCAAGCAAAAATCCCCAAGCCTTGTAGAAGATAAAGACAATTAATAGGTGAAGGGAAAAGAAAAAGTTTTAAAAAACCCAACAAACTAAGGGAGATAAAACTAATAATTCCCACCAGCAGATGGATGCCCAGACAGTCTTCAGGCAGTGGCTGCTCTGGAAAACCTCCTACCTAGTTTTATATCTGAGCATGAAGTCATACAGTGCGGAAAATCTCTTTGGTCAGCTGGGGTCAGCTGTCCTGGCTGTGTCCCCTCACACCTCCTTGTGCACCACCAGCCTACTCACAGGGGGAGCTGACTGAGAAACAGAGAACACCTCGATGCTGTGTAAGCACTGTTCAGCAATAGCTAAAACACGGGTGAGTTATCAACACCACTTTGGTCACTAGTTTAAAACAAAGCACCATACAGGCTACAATGAAGAAAATTAACTACATCTCAGCTAGACCCAGTACAGCAATTCGTGATTATCTTGTCTTGACAGTAACACTCTGGTAAATTTTTGTGGTAGTCCACAAGAAATTCTGAGAATATAAAGTGATTATTTAATCTAGATGTCTAGGAACCATTTCTGTAAATTATAGTCTCCAAACTACTCATCTACAAATAGACTTCCTTATTTTTTTTTCTGTTTTACAATTTTCCCACTACAGAGCAAAATATCTAATAATTCCCCTTCATTTTAACAGTCCTAAACACAATACATGTCTCAGAACACAGTTCAAATATATTAACGGAATACACGAAAAATTCAATCTGAATAATGTGACTTGGCTAAAGTTAGGCAAAAATGGTTTGTTTAACCTTTAATCTGCCCTAAAATAATGCATGTGACATGAGTTTCTCATCCTTGAGATAAAACTTCAGGCATTTCTAAAATACATACTGAAGTACAATACAGGAATATTTTGGTTAGATTAAGGACTGAAAGACTCTAATTATTGATGACAGAACTTTACGACACAAATTTCCTCTAATTGAGCCAACTCTACGTAAACATGAATAGCTGAACACTGTACTACTACTGTACATAGCATTGTTATATGGTTGATATTTCAGCTATACAAAATATTTGTATGATTTATTCTGTAGTAAAATTATCAAGTATTTCTTACCCATTCATAAGAAACGATCCAACACCCACGAGCAATTCCCAGCAAAACATTCAAGGTACGACGAGGACTCCCTGTAACTACATGACTTGTTGTTTCACATACATCAGCTGAGAACAAAAAGTCTCCAAGTTTATTCACCACCTGAATTACTGTATTTTGTTTCCTAAGAAGAAGAAAAGGAAAAAACCTATACAAAGTTGAATGGATATGCAGAAGTATAAAAGCATATACACACAATACAAAGTAACTCAAACTCATTTCTTTCCTTACTAATAATTTCTTATCCTTTTCTCACTGAGCCCCCATCCATTTGCTAGCCCTAAATTCATTAGCCCTCCCACAAAGTCCAAAACAGACCCTCTCCTGTCATCACACAGTTATATCTACTTGCACATCAAAGCTCTTTTGCCTCCCACATTTATCTTATATGTTTAAATAGAAGGTTTTGAGACAAGAATTATCTAACATACTGGTTTTGCATAACGCCTGGTACAACAGAGCCTCATTCTTGGCTGCTTTTGTAGTACTATCAAAAAAGTATTTACCAGGAAATGTAAACATTTAGACACAGAACTCTTAAGACACTTAAGTCAAAAGCTGGTATTTTATGAGAAGGCACTTAAAAATATTAAGAAAAAAATCAAACCACTGACTAAACTGCCTTACTCCAGACACTGGTTAATGTGAATTCTGGTTTGGCTACATTGCCTTGAATGTTACTGGAATATTTACTATTCCCTTTTCATTTGATGAGTTTTATCTTGACAGCCTACAAGGGAATGTTTCTGTAATACTGAAATACATAGGGGTTGGCCCTGACTAGACTGCATGCTCAGAGGATGCATTTCCATGCTTTACCTGAGGCTTTTTTTCTTTCTTGTGTCTACACAAAATTCCTCACTGTGACAGAAAAAATTCCTGTTGTCCAAGAACTGAATCTAAGATACCTTATAAGTTACAGTGAAAACTCAATAGTTTATACTTCAGTCAGCTGCAAAACTTCCAGATGCAAATTTACAGCAAAATTTCAATGAACTGGTGATTCAGAAAAACAGGTAGCTACTGGCTGTGAATCAGTGAGCAGCATTTAATATAATCTCAAAACTCAGTGCCATAAAAACACTGAACTCATGATCTCTAAATTTAAATTCTCATGAACCACTTTTGAGGCTGTAGCTAATGGATAGAAGATCTGGCTTTCGGCCACTGAGTTGTATGCTTCGGAGGACTATTTACTGCTCTTCACCTCTTTTAGAAGCAGTCCCTTTCCTTTCACCCATTTACAGGTGATGAATGCCTACAACTGTAGACAACCAAAACCATGAACCAATCTTGATGAAGTTCTGAAGAAATGCAATTGTCATCAACCAGGCATTTTTATTTAATGAAAGAGTAATTGGTTCAACATACAAGCAACATAAAAGAAATAAGATATTAATGACCTCTTTCAACACAAGAACATATTCTCCAGCTCAGCCAGGATTTGTTCTCTTCTTTTAGACAGATCACAGCCTGTTTTCCACTACTGCTATCTGCACTATAGCTGTTATCTTTACCTCCCCCATAATGATCCTGTATTGCATGACTTACAAAGTGCATTTTATAGTCTCGGTGTTACTAGCATCCACTCGCATTAAATACAAGAAAAGTGTTAATTCCATTTTACGTTTCTGACATATATTATTAGTACACTTGTTAATAGCTAGTGACAACCATTTGCAAAGACCTTCTACAAGGACAGTCACTAAGTACTGTTTCTTATATCTATGTAACTGTCAAGATTTAATTACTTGAAGCAGATTTGTGAGTAGTAGAATTATCTTGAGTTTTGAAAAAGAATTCAAAAAAACTGTAAGCAAGTGTAGTATAAAATAAGGAATTGTGTTTTTGTTGGATGTTTTTTATTCTGTAAGACTTTCAAGAGAACGATAAGAGCATGCCAGAAAATTATCAACTCTCCCCCAAAATATGTAGTGGCAGCTGCTTATAATGTTTTGAAACTAAGTGGCTAAAAGGCTACAGCCAGTATTTCTTCAGCAACTATTTGTATGAAAGAAAACATTTTAAACTGATGTTTCAGAATCTGACTTTTAAAAATGAGAAAATTAAAATGTACGGGGAAAATGCTAAGTCTTGGGCTGAAACTCTGAACCATTTACTACCTAAAACTACTTTCTACACTTTCTTCAGAAAAATTCAAAACTTGCTTAAGATTTTTAGTTTTATTGCTCTGAAGCCCTGTTGAGTTGACCTATGGAACTACTTCAGTTTGCACCACAGCAACACAAACATGCACACATACTGTAGACAGCAACAAAATATACATGTATGTATGTGTTTCTAGAATACAGAATGAAATCAAGCATTTTAACATACATCCAAAAGATAATTTTCATTTTGTATAGGCATAAAAAGATTGTAAGTTTAAATGGTGTTTAACTGTTCAAGTTTAAATGGTGTGCTGACTAAAGAGTCAAAAATTTTAATACTTACTCAGAACACATACTCGTCATAACTAGTGTCCTTGTTGACTAGAAATGCAAAAGAGACAAGAAAATATCAAAAATCTGAGAAGTTTTTCCCTTTGGAAAATAACTTAAATTAGAAACTGTTCCGTTAAAAGGACTAAACTACCTCATAATTACAGTATCACCCGGGGAAGAGGCTGTACTACTTAACACATATAGTAGAAATATTAAACTTTGAGGGTAAGGAAGAAAACCCCTTCATCACATCTGGTATCAAAAGTATCCAACACAGCAGAAGAAATATAAGTTTTCATTACTAAAACCAAAAAGCAAAGTATGTCCAGTTTGGAATGCCACAGAAAAAAGGATAGCATTTGTCTTCTCCCTTTTAATTCTCTTGGTCAGGTAGAAAGGAAAAGGCAGCTGACCTTCAACAAAGAAACCCTGTAATTAAAAATTATTCCAGTTTCTTCCATAAGAAAGGCAGAATTTGGCTGAGATGCTGCAAAGCATATTTATTGTAGAGTATAATTTTAATAATTTTTAAAATTTTGATACTGTAACTTTTTTTTGCATGACTTCAGTATTTTCAATCTAGGTTTTTAAGTAAACATTCATTCACTCTTAAATCCTGGCTAGTGAATAAAAGTTTTCAGACTAATATAGCACACAAGATGCACTCAGGGAGTACTACAAACCTTAAACCACCAATTCTGAGACACCTTGAAAAGCAACCCCTGCTTTCCCTGCAGTACCCCCATAGCCTATGTGCAAACCACAGAATCGCATAATATTAGGAGCTGGAAGGGACCTTGAAAGATCATCCAGTCCAACCCCCCTGCCAGAGCAGAATCACCTAGACCAGGTCACACAGGAACGTGTCCAGGCGTAGGAGTGTTGCCCCATTCATACTTTAAATAAGCTTTTTATGAATTAGTATTACAGAAGTCGGAAGAGAAAGAAGCACATGAATTTTAGCAGTGTCAGAGAAATGCATAACTGAACGTAACACTACACCACTTAGACATACACAAGTCTATGGGGCCAGGTGGGATCCACCCCAGGGTCCTGAGGGAGCAGGCAGAAGAGCTCGCTAAGCCACTCTCCGTCATTTCAGAGGTGCTCCCAAAGCCACTTGCCATCATTTATCAGCAGTCCTGGCTGACTGGGGAGGTCCCAGTCGACTGGAGGCTTGCAAAGGTGACGCCCACCTACAAGAAAGGCTGAAAGGAAGACCTGGGGAACTACAGACCTGTCAGTCTGACCTGGGTGCCAGGGAAGGTGATGGAACAAATCATCCTGAGTGCCATCACACGACACATGCAGGACAACCAAGTGATCAAGCCCAGTCAGCATGGGTTCAGGAAGGGCAGGTCCTGCTTGACTAACCTTATCTCCTTTTCTGACAAGGTGATCCTGCCAGAGCAGGATCACTTAAACTAGGTC